ACACAAAACAAGTTACCAAGTAGACTCAGACTTCAAACTTTCAGTGATGCAAATAGCCACATTTTAAACTCATAAATACTTACTGCCTAAGACAGGATAGTCTACAGAGATAAAAGAACTAATCTTCACTTACACCTGCTTTATCATTCTTTCTCAAAGTATTTTAATTAGAAAGTAGACTCACGTATTAAAAGTAGTTCAGTAGATCACAAAATGATGCTGGAACAAATGGACATTCATAGACAAAAGAAAACAGTTTGGCATTTTCTTAAAAACTAAATATGCAACTAGCTCACCTGGGCATTTATCCCAGAGAAATGAGAAGTTATGCTGACATGAAAACCTGTATGTATGTGTGTGTATGTGTGTGTATATATATATATATATATGTGTGTGTGTGTGTGTGTCTGTATGTATATGTGTGTGTATGTATGTATGTATGTGTGTATATATGGAACAGTTTTATCTATAATAGCCAAAATCTGGAATCAGCCCAGATGTCCTACATCAGGTGAGTAGTTAAATAAACTGCGGTACATACATACCATGGAATAACCACAGAAACTGAAAGAACAATGACAAAAGGACCAAACTATTGGTACATGCAACACCTGTAATGAATCTCCAGCGGATTATGCTGAGCAAAAAGCCATTTCAAAATGTCACATATTATCTGGTTCCATATATATAACATTTTTGAAATGATAACATTTTAGAAATGGAAGGCAAATTAGTGGTTTCTGGGGGTTAGGGAGGAGAGAAGGAAGGAGAATGAGGGAAGTAGGGTTAGTGTAGTTATAAAAGGGCAACGTGAGAGATCCCTGTGCTGATAGGGCTGTTCAATATCTTGACTGTGGTGGTGGATATGCAAACCTACACAGGTGATAAAATTGTACAGGATTTAAAACACATACACACATAAAATGAGTACAAGTAAAACTGGGGAAATATGAATAAAACTGGTGGACTGGATCAATATCAAAAATATTATTATATTATATTGTTGTTGTTGTTGTTATGTGCCGTCGAGTCGGCCCCGACTCATAGCGACCCCTCCTTGGGTTTCCGAGGCAGTATCACTACGGAAGTAGGATTGCCCAACCTTCCTTCCGAGGAGTGGCTGGTGGGTTTGAACCGCCAGCCTTCTGGTGAGCAGTCAAGTGCCTTAGCCACTATGCTACCAGAGCTCCCATAGTTCTATAAATTATTAACACTGGGAGAAATTGGGCAAAGTAGGATAAGGGATATTCCTGTATTATTTCTTACAACTGCATGTTAATCTATAATTATCTCAATAAAAATTTCAATTTGAAAAAAAAAAAAAGAGTAGGATTTTGAGATTTAACCAAGGCAGGAATTCTCATATTTTTTCTTCGTCATGGTATACCTAATAATGGAAGATAAAACCAAACTTGCCCGCCCTTCTGAAACTTCAGCATGTCTCACAAGTCTCATACTTGCATAATTTGTATAATTTCTAATTCTCCTCCATAATACTATGCTGTTTTAATAGCACTATATGGTATATATGTCCTGTGGCCCTGCCTATATCCCAGTGCAATATCTCATATTCCTGAGGGTATGTAGACTACAATTAAAAAAAAACACAAAATACTGGCTTCTAGCTTTCATTTATTGCTAAATAAATACACATTTTAGAAGGTAACAATTTCAGCTGTTTCATATTTCATATTTTAATTGCTCTCAAAAAAAGTTGTCACAAGGGGCTAGGTTGTGGTCACTGCTTGGTCACAGCCAGCTACCCAGAGCGACCAAGTAGTTGATCCTGAGGGCTTGGGACCATGGTCACAGGGAACATCAAGCTCAATTGGCATAACATACTATAAAAAACATTGTTCCACCTCCTACTTTGGTTAGTAGCAACTGGGATCTTAAAAGCTAGCAAGCGGCCATCTAGATGCAACGATGGGTCTCTCCTCATCAAGAGCAAAGAAGAAAGAAGAAAACCAAAATTAATGGAAACAATCAGTCCTCACGACTGGTACACCATCCGATCTGCAACCTATACAACTATGAGAGCAGAAGAACTAGATGGTGCCCAGCTACCACTGTCATCCACGTGGAAGGGATGTAGGAGATCCTGGATAGAGAGGGAGAACAATGTGGAACAAAACTCAAAATCATTTGGAGGGAAAAAAAAAAAAGATGGTTGGGACCAGGTTTGCTGGTCCAATGGAGCCTGGTGGAACCACTGAGACTATGGCCCCTAGCTGCTCTTCAGGTCTGGAATTGAACCCCCACCTGTGGTTTCCAGCCAAACAAAGTACAGGCATGTGAGTTAAATATTTACCTCAAGTAGACACATGCCCTGGAGAGAACAATCATGGGAGAAGGAAGGACTGCTTATGCACAGGGAGACAGCTCAGGGGGCAGGAGAGTACGGAGGGATGGACACTGGGAAGTGGTAACTATGGGGAGGAAGTGGGAGGGGAGCTGTTGCATTGTGGTAAACTGTGGTCAATGACATGAGACAAAGTATATGTGAACTGCTGTATGGAAAGTGAATTTGCTCTGTAAATCTTCACCGAAATCACACATAAAAAAAAAAAAAGTTGTCACAGATGAAACAGACCTAAAATGTATACCTATACATTTTTAAAGTGTATTAAGGTTCATCTAGTTAAGTAATTTTTTTTAAGCAGATGAGTCTATTTCCAGACAAAATCTTATGCGGAATTCTAATTAAAAAAAGTTAGACGAGAGGTGCTACTTTCTGAAAAGTTCAATTACCTTATTAACCAAGCTTCCCTCGCACCGTAACAGCAGCCCCCAAGATATCCTACAGATTTACTAAATACAAGTTTTAAAGCCACTGATCTAGTTCATCCCTTCTGATTTACAGGGAATGGGCCAGGGAAGCTAAGTGACTTGCTCTACCATGTATGGCTGCTTGATTAAAAACAAAAAAAATGCTGAGATATTTTTCATCCACATTTCCTGACATCTATTCAGGTCTGCTTTTATCACTATACCATGACATCTCTAATTATAGTTAGTTTGGGACACAGGATGCACACATGAAATTTTCATGATTTTGGCAGCTTTTGTGCTACTAATTTGTGGCACAGTGAATTAGTAGATATGGCTTTTCTAGCCATAGTTTTTTTAACTCCCACCAGAATACTGCGTGGGGCCGTGCAAATAAGGTGTATAGAACTCTGATATTGGGATTGGTTAGTTTTGTTACTCTGCCAGGATTAAAATGAGCCCTCCTTGAGGCAGAGAGGGGATCTCACTGCCATCAAGAGAGAAGAACTGGAGGTAGAGTGGAGTACATCCTTGGACCTGAGGTCCCTGTGCTGGACCTCCTTGGCAGAGACGCCTAGCAGAGAGAGTTACCCAACAAACAGAGACACCTGGCAGAGAGAAGGTAGCAGTGGAAGTAAGAGGCATGAGACAGAACAGCAGGCTTACCTGGCCAACAGAGCAAGAAAGCTGAATGCCCTTGGCCAGGAGACGTGCTGATGAAGTAGGGTCACCTAGGTGTACTGTCAGCAGAGCTAAAAGAATTTTGTAACATTTGCCTGAGCAGGACAGAGGCCAGGCTACAGAGGTGCGCCTGAGGGCATAGCAGAGGAGAGACTGTCCTGAATGAAGAACTGCAGTCTGAGAGCATTCCTGAACCTGAGTTGTAGCCTGTTACTTCCCTAATAAACCCCCATAATCATCAGTATTGTCTGCAAGTTCTGTGTGGCCATGCAACAAATTACTGAACCCAACAGAGAAGTAGTAACTGCCATGGGAGGAACAGTTGGTGTCATAATTGGCAAAAAAGGTTGGAGGGTGGCGCCATGAGTGGCCTGACAGGAATAAGCTTTGGGCTGTTGATGGTGATTCTGTCTCCCCCTTGTGAGGTTAGGGGAGGTCAGAAGATGCTGCCCCCAAGTTCTTTTTGTATTGATATATATGCATACTACTTGTCTATGCCTTAAGATAACAATGATGGAAGAATAATTTTTTTTAATTAACAAACATTACTGAAGGACACCCTGGGGCATGCCTGTAATGGAAAATATGAACTCTTAAGACTCCACAGCATTTCTCTACTAGAGTTTGATCTAGACCCTCCTTAGTCCTATCTCTGCTCTTGGAATTCTGCCACTGATTTAACACCTCCTATGCTAGTGCAGACAAGGTAGAAAGGGGTCAGAGTTACAAATGGACAAGGAAAAAATTAAGTGTATTAGTCTGTGAAAAGAAATGAAAAATGACACAGACGTATTTTAGACAGTGTATGACACATTAGATGAAGAGAAAATGGTCTGAGAGGGGCACGGTTAAGAAATTAGAAATAAATGCAAAAAAAAAAAAAGAGAGAGAAATGTTCAAAATATACATGTTAAATATAAAAAGTAAATTTCAGATTAAGTGAATTTCAATTTCATATCATTATTTTAATTCTATAAATAAGGCAGAAAGCCTTCTGCATTGAGTATAAAGTATAAAAACTAAAGCAGTTACCAAGCCTATCAGAAAGATTCTTCTCTAACTTCTCCCACGATGATGTCTGGGACCCTAAAGTTGCTTGTAAATTTTCTATTTGTCGAAGCAATGGTCTTGTTGTTGAAGAAACACTTTGACTCAGTTCTTGGTTTCGATTCTCTGCTTCCTGGAGTCGCTGAACCATAAAATTCTTAAGTCATTACCATTGACAGCAATAAAATACTAACAAACTTAAGCTTTATGAGAGATTTCTAGAAAAAATTAATTCTCCTCAAAATTATTTATTTTATTAACTTGTCTCTAACATTTCAATCCTTACGTTACAATTAAGTTGCATAATAGAGTATATAAGTAAGTGCTTCTTTACAGAGCATTTCTAAAATAAAGATAGCCTTTAATTACCTAAAGGTGAAATGTTAATCCAAACCTCCCAGTAGACATCTCATCCAAATATTTTTAAGTATTTATAAAAGCTGAATGAACAATCTGAGTCATACTTCCTCTTTTTTCCTTATGTATATTCACTGACTGAAAATTTAAAAAATAACACTGGGTACTAATTACTTGCCCCACAGCAATCAAAGAATGATAATAATTAATAAACCAATTATTACAAATGAAGAAACAATGCAGAGTATGAAGAATATAAACAAAACAGGGACATTTTTGCACAATTTGAAAGTACCCACTGTGATTTTATTCCTATAAGCCATAAAAATATAGCAAATTAAAAGCATAATAATCATCTTCTCAATTACATGAATTTTACCACACTGTATCATATTTCATTTATAGCAAAAAAACATACTTCTTGGATTTGTGTTTAGACAAACTGGGACAGTACCTGCTGGAGTTCACTGATATCATGGCGTAAATAATCCTCTTTTCTTGCAGCTGCTTGCTCTGCCCGCTGTAGTGCCAGCCTAAGGTCTCCCACCTACAGGATGAAAAATCACACACTATCAAAAACACTATCAAAGTATTATGTACAATTTGTTAGCTACATACTTCGTCTTGTGTCATTTATTATTCTGTGTAATACTTTGTACTATCCAATAAGCTTTTACATATGATTATTACATATTGCATATATCAACCAATTTCAAAATTATATGTATATATAATACCTTCTTAAGAAAGCACCCTGGGATTCAAAATGTAGTCTCGGCAATGAGCACCACGTTTATTTTTCCCTCTGGCATCTAAGAACTTTAAGAACTAGGTCCAACAGTTTGAATTGAGATTTTTGGAACTCTGAACAGCTCACTGAATCAGACTGCACCAAACACAGAAGAACAGAATTGGAGGAAATGCACAGGGATATTTTTTAGCAAAGAGCTACTGCCGAAAGATGAACGGGCACCGGAGAGGGACCAATGGAAACCTTTCTGGGGCAGTCACTGTCTGCCGGGTGGAGGTGGCCGCCTGAGATCCCCAAGCCAAGAATGAGATCACTTTTAGCAGCTTACCAGCAACCAATACAATATTCCAGCAGGCAGGGGCAGAGACCTGTCTCCAGCAGCTGATTTTGTGGGCAATTTGGGTGGTGAGGGCGCAGCCAGACACGGGCACCATTGCTGAGACTCAGGTGGAGATCTCACTGGTGCGCCAGAAAGGCTACTCCCTCCCCTCCCAGCAGATTACAGAGCGGGCTTGGGTCAGACAGGGAAACACCGTGCTTTTCTTTGCCACGGTTATCAGGACTGCAGGTCACTGGCAGGTACTCCCCCAACTCCACTACAGCTAAAATTGCACACATCTTTGGCGCCGCAGGTGGGCGGTATAGTAGACAAACTCCAGAGCCGACCATTACCGGTTGGGCGGGATTGCGTCACCACCGCAGGAAGACGGGGCACAGAGAGCAAAAAAACCAACGCTGAGCGCGATCCCAGGAATTTTTGCCCTGGAGCTGTGTTTTAGCGCTGTGGGGCCGCAGACGGGGGGCTTTGAGTGTGCATAATATTGGCGGAAATTTGTGACCCTCTAATAATAGGAATCTTTCCTGAGATTGAGCCGTGGTCTTGCAAATAAATACATCATAAGTAAGAGCCTGCACAGGTACACCCCCGAGTCCAACACACCTGAAATTGCGCACATCTTTGGCGCTGCAGGGGGGTGGTAGCACAAACTCCAGAACCAGCCATTGGTGGTCTGGCTGGATTGCGTAAGCAATCCAGGCAGACGGGGCACTGAGAGCAAAAAAAAACCGCAGCTGAGCGGGAACCAGCGAATTTTGCCCTGGAGCCACACTTTGGAGCTATGGGGCTGCGGAGGCGGGGACTTTGAGTGTGCATGAAATTGGCGGAAATTTGTGACCCTGTAACAATAGGAAGTTTTCCTGAGTTTGAGCCGTGGTCTAGCAAATAACTACGTCATAAGTAAGAGCCAGCTCAGGTACACCCCCAAGTCCAACACACCTGAAATTGCGCACATCTCTGGCACTACAAGTGGGCGGTATCACAGACAAACTCCAGAGCCAGCCATAGGCGGTCTGGCTGGATTGCGTCAGCACTGCGGGCAGACAGGGCATGGAGAACAAAGAAACTGCGGCTGAGCCCAGACCCGTGAATTTTGCCTGAGAGCCGCAATTTGGCTCTGTGGGGTCAAGGAGGTGGGGTCTTTGAGTGTGCCTGAAATTGGCAGAAATTTGTGACCCTCTAACAAGAGGAATTTTTCCTGAGGTAGAGCCATGATTTTGCAAATAAATACGAAACCGACCCAAGCAACACCAAGCTTTCATTCTTCTGCTCCCACCTTCTTCGCCAATAATTTCAGTCATTCAATAGAAGAAACCATATTCAGCCAATTACCATAAAACCTCAGGCTGCGAACTCTAAACCCTCTGGACGAAAAACAGAAACACATATCCACACTACACACAGTGATTCCACCATCACAAAGAAAACAGGAGAGTGACCCAACACACCTGAATCAATATTAAGATAAAACACACCAGCTTCACCTTTTCAAAAATATTAAACCATAAAACCAAGACAAAACAAATCAACACATAACCAGCACCTAGAGACAACCTAAAGAGACAACGCTCTACCAGATTCCAAGGGCTTAAGAAGAGGTTCTGCTTTCCAGTAACCCCAAGAACTCTCC